TAACACGTGTGAACCTGCGTGGCGAAACGAGGCGTCCCTTGCGCCGTGATGCATGGTTGACGAGGCCAATCACGATGTTTCTGCTTCAATGGTAGAGCCGCTGCACAATGTCGAGCAAATGCATGGCGATCAGATGTCTGGCGATCTCGGCGGCTTCATCTTGGTGCGCTCAGTCGCTGTTTCACTACTCACGCTCGAACAGTACCCCAGCCGACCAACCGCCAATGCTTATCGATACGCCGACTGAGCGCAATCTTCTCCCCAATCTCTGTGCAGGCAGGATGTGTCAAGTAGATCTTTGCTAGATCTGCCTTCACACTCATGACTCTGCCACCAGTCGAGGTGGATCCAATGTTGACCATCAGAACCTCATTCTTTGCCAATTTTTGGACCTGGTGGTGCGATGGAACAAATTAATTAGTCTCACGGGATGATAAAGGGCACACAACGCTCAAGTGGAGGACCACGACTCACCTTGGTCTGCTTCTTGTCGTCCGTCTTGACACCCAGCAACCTTCTGAGGAGGAAATATTGGACCTCCAGCTCGACATAGATAGCCGGCAGCGAGCCGACAGCACCGAGCACCTGTCCGACCAATCGATCACCTCTGCACAAGGTCGGGTCGATCTTTGTGCCTACACCGATCAATCCACCAGGCACTGCGAATTTGAGGTCATTAGACTCGGCGAACAGAGTGACGATCTTCGAGAAGAGGGGTCTGCAGTGCACGTTCCCGTCTTGATCCTTTTCAATCAATCCTGGCCTAACCTCAATGTCCTGACCCAACTTCAACACTCCGGACAAGATGGACCCGCCTGCAACACCTCCCTTCAGATCTGCAATCTCTGCTCCTGGCTTGTTCACGTCGAAGGACCGAATGACGATGAGGCGTGGGGGTGAGGCGAAGTCGCGGACGGGCACAGGCACCCTCTTCACGATGTATTCGTTGACCGCATCGATGTTGTATTTAAGCTGCGCCGAGATCGGCACGATGGGTGCGTCCCCAGCAACAGTGCCTGTCCAAGGTCGAAATGTGAGTATGCTGACCTCTGAGCCGCTGCACACCAGCTTTCTCACCCTTGACGAAGCTAGAAATGCTCTTCCAGTGATCCTCCGCCTGCTGTTCCCTGATCAGATCGACCTTGTTCTG